GTGTGGGTGAGCAAGGGAAAGGATCATTGGACAAATCAGTCAATTCATAACTAAGCTGATAAAAAACCCCAAACTACCTCCCTTCAGCACACACACAACTTTTTGATTACATTTCATTTCAGTGGGCCAATCTGGGAGAATCTTGAGTGAAAATAGTTTGTTTAACTGATGATTTCTCAGATAACTAGAATGAATAACAGTATGGTTTTTATTCTCCCAAATATTTGGTGTTCTTCAGCAGGGCCAGCAATACCATTTGGCAGAGTGAGACAACTGCTTCAGGTGGCTGTTCCTCCTGAACTCTCAGCCATTCCCCTTGGGCCACATGGTTTCTCCTGGGCCCCCTAATCTGGCCCGCTACTTCAGGTATGGTGGGGAGGGGATTACTGGGTTGCCTTTTTAATAAAGAATAATAAAAAATAAATATCCCATCACAAGTATTACAGTAAGATTCAGCTGCCAGTCCAGTCATCTTCTGTATATAGCATGGGGAGGGAGCACCATTTTGTCTTTCACCTCAAGCAGCAAACGCCCTATACACTTCAGCTGTGATATGAAATATATCACATATTAATATGTTAATGCTGCTGCTGAAACCTTTTTCCAGATCACTGTTACAGTACTGTGGTACCTCTGGTTAAGAACTTAATTCGTTCCGGAGGTCTGTTCTTAACTTGAAACTGTTTTTAACCTAAAGCACCACTTTAGCTAATGGGGCCTCCTGCTGCTGCCGCACCGCCGCATGATTTCTGTTCTCATCCTGAAGCAAAGTTCTTAACCCAAGGTACTATTTCTGGGTTAGCGGAGTCTGTAACCTGAAGAGTCTGTAACCTGAAGCGTATGTAACCCGAGGTACCATTGTATAATTAGGAAACACAGTGGTTATTTTCTGTTTTGGCTCCATATTCCTTCGCTCAATTTGCGGCAACCTTTTAAAGCACAAAAGGGTAATTATTCTTTTCCTGATTAACTAGAATTAAGCTTAGTTTCTAATAATTGGACTGATTAAGCTGCTAAAGTCTGCATCGCTATTTCAGTGAAATTAATAGTACTTATTTCACTGTTAATATGTTTTGGACAGTGGCTGTTGGTTAAGTTAAATGAAAGTCAATTCTAAACGTGTTTATGAGTAATGCAATTATTTTCCCAGGATAAAGTGCCCACCCCCCACTCCAGTTAGTTACTTCCTACAAGATTTTCCTACTAGGCTGCTTTACTCAAGACCTGTACTATATTTCGGTACCTGCCCCTGATAAATCCTTACACTGGCTACCTTCACACAAACAAATCAAATAATGAAGCTGGGGCGTTGTGTGTTTTTGAGCCAGTTTCAAACCAAAAGGTGAGATGAGAAGAGGCAAGTGGATAGCAATGCAGGAAGAATTTGCATTGGGGGGGGGACCTGCAGGAAACGTTACTGTGCAAGAAGCTCTACTGGAATCCTTCTTTCCTCTGATCTCTGCCTGAAATCTCACTTGCAGCAGAAAAAGGGAGTTAGATTTGTGTGGGCTGTACCACACGATAAGACACATTTTTGAATGTTCCCTGCCAAACGACAACAAACAAACAAACCAATAACCTAGCCTTTCCAGGTGCACAGCTTTCAGCTCAGCCAACTGTTTGTTGTGCTGCTTTTCTGGTTTTAACATTTGAGGAGAGATTTCAAAAATAGAACAACCCAATTTCTGTAGTCTGAAGCAGGACATCACATACCTCGGGGCCCTGATACCTCGGTTTCCATTCCATTCTGCTCCAGTGGAAACTACTGCTCTTGCAATGTTAAGCTGGCACCATGCAACCTCCTCCTCCACTGCTTTCATGGCCTCTAAAAGCCTTCGGGGAATGCATGTGCTGCACAAGGGCTTCCCCCCCAGAGCTTGTACATAATTACCCATGGCTCCTGCTGCTACCCTGGTGCAAGGGGAGAGAGATCAGCTCTCAGCGCTAAAGCATGTGGATGAGGTTTTTCCCTCTGTGCCACTGCTGGGAGCGCAGCATCAAAGCAAAAACAAAGAACCGAAACACTCAAGCAAATAAACAGAAGGCTCATCTGCCCCAGCTTACTGTTGCATGACAGGACAATTAATTCAGCTGTACGAGTGAACACATTTTCAGTTTTGTACAATATGTGCAGTTTTACGCAGGAGAGACAATCAGCCATACTCAGTGGACTCTAGGTGTCTTCGTTGCCTTTAAAATTGTATCTAGTACACTCTGTTTAACCACAGGCTTAAATGTTAAGGATCTACAGAACTTCTGTTTCCCCTCTTCATCTGACTTTAACCCAGGTAAGATTGTAATTATTTATAATTCCTGCAGCACTCTGGGCACTCAGATTGTTATAGAAACAAGAACATTCCTAATCACAACTGTATTAAGCAAGGTAAGATTCAGTAAAGTCAACGGGACTTTGTTTTGTGCATGAGACTTCTCTAGAACAAATAGGGATGTCCTATTCATCAATAACCATAATTTTACCATTTATACCCCACCCATCTGACTGGGTTGCCTCAGTCGCTCTGGGCTGCTTCCAGCATGTATAAAAACATAATAAAACATTAAACATTAAAAAAGCTTGCCTATTCAGGGCTGCCTTCAGATGGCTCAGGGGTCAGATAACGCCATACCCTCCATTTCTCAGATGAAAACAGGGACGTCCTAAGGGAAAGTGGGGTATTCCAGGATAGAATCAGAAACTGGGATGGCTTCTGTAAATCTGGACTTCCCCTGGAAAATAGGGACACTTGGAGGGTCTGTAGTACAATACCAGTGCAGGGGGCAGGCCTGGTTCACAGGACCTGAGCAAGAAAACATTGCTTGGCTCCCTTTGCTCTATTGGAACCCTTGGCGCCAGATCTTGTGTCCCACAGACAGTGCAGAGCAGAAGACAGAAAGGTTCTGACCAAGCCCCTGAGTGCTATGCTGCAAACCAGATTCTATCAAGCACAGCTTGATGGAAGACCAACAAGAGCACTGGATTTCCTGACTGAATTATTCAAACGATCCCTCTAGATTAGAAGCCGAAAGTCAAAACTGGCAGCAGCAGCAAAAACTGATAGGTTTGGCAGAAATGTGCAAGATTATCTGTATTATTTTCTGCGAAGCAAACACCACTCTCTGTGGAGGCAGAAGCAAAAAATAAATTATGGTCTCTGTCAGCTGGTGTTAATGGCTTCCAGTAACACTACTACAGTGACTTTGGCCAAGGTGACGCCATTCTGAATAAGCCTAGAATCCATTGTGAATTAGTTAATTTGTCTAAAGCTCTCTGGGGACGAAAGCCACTAAAAGCGAGGAATTACTTAAATGTCATGGAGATTAAAGTAATGTGAGAAAGTAAATTTGCACATTCATTATTTTTTTAAAAAAAGCCTATCCAAATTTCAGGGAATCAGTCTTATGCTTTTACCAGTAACGTTTTCCAGAGCCATGTTCGTCTGGTGCAACAAAACGGGAGACTCGTGGCACCTTAAAGACTAACCAATTTATTGTGGCGTAAGAAGGGCTGGATTAAACATTAAGCAAAATGAGCATGTGCTTAGGGCGTCAAGGGAAGGGGGACACCACAGAAATTTTCCATTGCCAGATTTTTAACATTAATGGTCACAAATTGCTCAGCTGAGCATGCATTTTCTCAGCTGAAGTATATTTAAAATCCGAACAGGAGAACTATGCAACAAGGCACCACAGAGCAGCAGTGCCGGCAGCAAGAGGTATGGTAGGTAGCAGAGGCAGGGCAAGGTGGCCCTTCCCATTTCACCTCAAGCAGTGAAACAGGACACACCACCCCTGAATTATGGATACGAATAGTTGAGAGTGAATTTTGTATGAGGGAGAGTGCTAAGGATGTGTTTGGGAGGTGTTACTGAGTGGTGGGGTTAGTGGGGGTGCACCTTCTACCTTAATTATTTTGTTTAACCACTAACGATGTGGGTTTTTTTTATCGCATTTCTAAGTTTGAGTCTTATTCACATTTTTTTTAAATATACAGAATATGTTTCAGATAACAGTTAGTTTTCTTGTTAATAATGCTGCTTTAAATGTGGGTCTTTGTTGTATTTTGTACTCTAGCTTCATTTGTAATGTTTCACATTGATATATTTTAATGTTTCATTTCATGTTTCAATTTATGTTGTAAACCACTTGGAGATATAGGTAGGAAGGTAGATAGGTAGAGGTGTGTGTGTGTGTGTGTGTGTGAGAGAGAGAGAGAGAGAGAGAGAGAGAGAGAGAGAGAGAAATGCATACCGTATTTTTTCCATGTATAAGACTAGTTTTTTCCCTTTAAAAATAATGTCCAAAATTTGGGGGTGTCTTACACATGGCGGCCATCTCTCCCCATTTTCTTAAATCGGAGTCCCCCAAAATATGGGGTGTCTTATACATGGGGGGTGTCTTATAGACGAAAAAATACGGTACATTGCTATTGAAATGGTCTAGATCAGGGTTTTCCAAACTTGGGTCTCCAGCTGTTTTTGGACTACAATTCCCATCATCCTGACCACTGGTCCTGCTAACTAGGGATGATGGGAGTTGTAGTCCAAAAACAGCTAAAGACCCATGTTTGGGAAACCCTGGTCTAAATAAATTATCACAATTAAAGAAACCAGCCACCCCTGACTACTAGCCATGCTGGCTGGGGCTGAAGGGAGTTAAGAGTCCAGCAATAATTGCAGGGCCCCAGATTCTCCATCCTTCCCCCTTCATCTTTGTATACCAAACACTTTGAATCGCTCTTCATGTAAATGAGACCAGACTCACGGCTGACAAGAAGAAAGGCTCGTCAGGGAGAAAGTGTCTGGTATAACTTACAAAATGTTACTAATTGCAACAAAAATAAGTAAGCGGGGGAGGGGGGAATCACACGCAAAGAGTTATTCAAAGGAAACATGTGGGCATTCATATCCAGAGAGAACGACGCCATCTGTTCGACACCACCATCATATTTTTTTTAATGTTCTGTCTTAATAACACCTCTCAAAATAGGTATAGAAGATTACCTTTCACAGTGTGCAGTATGTCTTCATCTATGTTGGTGAAGCACTGCAGATTTTAATCTACGATGTTCTATAAAAGTTCCACAGTCATTTCCAAGAGCGGGTTTCGGGCGGTTAATTCTGGCATTTGCAAGCAAATAGAAGCTTCGGGATAGGGTGCGATGCAAATGCTGTTTGGCGTTCCATGACCTAAAACTTAAAGGAAAAGTGGAGGGAACTCAATTGTTTAGGCATTTCAATTAAAACAAACAATGGCATTAGGTATTTTTCAGCCCTCTTGGCAAGGAGCTACACATGTTGTTTTATTTCTGCCCGATTTAATGCTTTAGTCACAGTAAGTACTATTACTGGCATTTTGCGCTGCTTAAAATATCTCCGCAATGTTTATCCGAGGATGGGCTGTTGCTAAGTGCACAATCCTATCTCCTGGCCGGCAGCAGGGGGGATTTACAGAGTGTTGGAGCCACCACTTCCACCCGCAGCTCCTCTGATTCCACTGTCCAGGATGGAAGGTGAGAAGGCGGGAGAGGTCTGCAAGTTTGCTGCGAAAGTTCCAGGCTGATACAGGAAACAAGCCTGAATTGGGCCCCTTGACACAGCTTGCAGGTACCTGGACTGGCTTAGGATAGAACAGACCCTTGGCTAGCTCAACTGCACCCACTCCCCACTCTGAAAACAGCTAATAGAACCTTGACGCCTTCTGTTCTCTTTGAAAGCATGAACACTTGGGACATCAGCATCTGATATACCAGCCTTCCTCCTCTGCATTCACCAGGAACTTCCAAACAACAGAGTCCAGGATTAAGGCAATCAGGATGGGGCTGTGCAGACAGGAGTTATGCAGAGCTCGCTAAGATGGCGGGCAAGAGCTGAATAGGACTGCAGAAAGCAAGCAGCGGATGCAGGTGAATCAGGCAATGAGTAGAAGCAACAGTCATAGAATTACAGAATTGTAGAGTTGTAAGAGACGAGGGTCATCTGGTCCAAACACGGGTGGTGCTGTGGGTTAAACCACAGACCCTAGGGCTTGCTGATCAGAGGGTCAGCGGTTCGAATCCCCACGACGGGGTGAGCTCCCATTGCTCGGTCCCTGCTCCTGCCCACCTAGCAGTTCAAAAGCACGTCAAAGTGCAAGTAGATAAATAGGCAGGAAAGGTAAATGGTGTAGAGTTCCGTGTGCTGCTCTGGTTCGCCAGAAGTGGCTTAGTCATGCTGGCCACATGACCTGGAAGCTGTACGCCGGCTCCCTCGGCCAGTAAAGCGATACGAACACCACAACCCCAGAGTCGTCCACGACTGGACCTAATGGTCAGGGGTCCCTTTACCTTTAGCTAAGGGTCATCTGGTCCAAACTTTTGCCCAACGTGGGTCTCAAACCCACAACCCTGAGATTAAGAGTCTCATGCTCTACCAACAGAGCTATTCCAGCTCATTTTCCAAAGTGATCTTAACCTGGTACCATGGAGGGGCAAGAGATCTGGGGCCAGTGCAGCTGGAGAAGGAGGTAGATGTCATTACCCAAAAACCCACTCAGTCACTGTGCACATTCCCAACATTGGCTGTGCATCTTGCTTTCTCAGAAACCTAGCCGGGCTGTTCTCAGCACAAAGCACTTCCTGAATTGCTATGCATGTCCAGGCTCCCGCTAGGAAATCTTTTCACATCTAGAATGCCTCATTTTGGGCTTGCATATGAAGCCCACACTGCTAAAGAGAAAGACAAAAGAGGGGGGAAAGAGTGCAGTATTTTCTGCTCCCCTTCTTTCCACCAAACAAGTTTGTTTTGGTTATACATACGCAAGGGCAAAAGGTACAAAAAGTCATAAAAGGAGCAAATAATTTGTATCTCATTTAAGGGACTGTTCTTCCATCAGTTGGACCACTTTAGTAAGTTTCAGAGTCCTGCATAAATTCTGTCACAAAGGTTTACTTAAGAGCCAAACTCATTTGCTTTAGCCGCAACGCACAATGGATTTTCTCCAGAACAGCCTAATTAAAGCAATTGGGCCTGATCCAAAGTTAATGGGTTGCAATTCTATTGCAGCCTTTTCACCTGCACAGACACTGTATTTATGTGGTACTTACTCCATTGTAAATTCGGTAATTGCCATCTGTCCCCAGTGACATTTTAGGCAGGCTGCAGTCAACCTCTGGCCGATCCTCTTTCACTTGTAGCAAATCCCCTTCCACTTTTGGCACAACACTCAAGAGAGTGGTACCTAATGAGTGTGATCCAAAGCTGTGCATGTGAGCAGGACTTGCACCATCGACTCTGGAATGCGAGAGCCCCACAAGAACACAGATAGCATAACTGTCCATAAATGAGCATAGAGAAAGCTGTCACTCCCCGCTGCCTTCCTCCTTGTTAGATCATCATGGCAATGTTTGGAACTAGCTCAAGTGATGTAACTAAGACAGTCATGCCAAGTCAGACCATTGGTCCATCCAGGTCATGAACTGACAGTGGGTCTCCAGGGTCTCAGGCAGGATCCTATCTCAGGTGTCAAGATGTCAGAAACCGAACATGGAATCTTGCTCTTCCACTGAATGACCCCAAATCTTAGTATTATGAGAAAGGAAGTGCAAGGGATGCTTCTCTCCACATTCTCCATGCCATGCACAATTCGACAAACACCTCTTGCATCTCCCACCTTCTTCTTCTTCTTCTTCTTCTTCTTCTTCTTCTTCTTCTTCTTCTTCTCCTTCTCCTTCTCCTTCTTCTTCTACCTAAAGAGCCCCAAATGCTTTATCCCTTCCTTGCAGGGAAGTTGCTCCTGGGTCTCGTGTCCTGCAACTTTTCCAACTCTACAATGCTGACACTTGAACTTTGGGCTAAAAAAAGTGACACTGAGAATCTTCCACTTTTATTAATTAAGCTTTTTAACAACAACAACAAACAACCAACAACAACTTGACCAAATATTTGGGAAATATCTGTGCACTCACAGAATATTCATGGCATGTATGTTTACCACAAAATTTGCATGGTAGAACTGTAAGCACGAACATCTTGTACTAGAGTTCACAACAAGCTTTGTTCGAATCAGGAACCAAGGTGATCTCTCTCTCTCTCTCTCTCTCTCTCTCTCTCTCTCTCTCACACACACACACACACACACACACAGAGAGAGAGAGAGAGAGAGAGAGAGAGATTAGATCTCTAAATATCTTGCAAGGTCATTTAACAAAAAAACTGACGCAGCGCAATCTGAGAAAAACAGAGGGAAACTTCTGAAACAGAAGCTCAGCTAGGAAGGGAGAGTAGGAATTATCCACTGCCCAAACTAATGGGAGAGAATCAGCTGGCAGATGAGACACTGGCATGATACGGACAAGGACCAATTGGCAAAGTTCCTAAGAAAAGGTTGCTTCCTACACACAGGAAAGTGAAATATAATTTGGCAAAGATTTATGAAAATTTTGATTTTGAAGGGGGCTCACTTCAACAGTTCCAAAGCAAATGAATATTGTCCAAAGCAATTTTTGTTTTGTTTTTAAACTAGCTCAGGGTACATAAGGGTAAAAAAAGGTAAAAGATCCCTGGATGGTTAAGTCCAGTCAAATTCAACTATGGGGTGCTGTTGGAAATGCTGTTGGTTTTGCCACCATTCCAAAATCCAGAGCAACATGCTTCTCTTTCAGTCTTCATCCCATCCTGAAATTGGCACTCTCCATCACTGAGCATGGAAAACAGAAAAAGAGTAGCTGATAGGTTTTCCTTTCCTTTTCTCCCCCTTTTACATGTGTGATGTAAAAAGTAACTATCAATTTTGCTTCTGAAAGCTTGCTCATGTTTAGGAATATGGATGAGAAATTACCATTTTCCTGAGCATTAATGATTACCGCTGTTTGCTACTGAGCACACATTCAGTAATATGCAGTTTCAAGCTGCTGACTCACAGCCCCACTCTCAAAGCTTTATCGAGCACAAGAGTAGTTCAGTGCAACACAGGTGATTCATTAACATAATTGTGGGGCTACAAATAAAACAAATGGTAGTTAAATCCCTTAAGTGTTCGCAGATATACAGTATTTGGCTTTCTGTATTATTGTGCCAAATGGGAGGAAACAGAGCTAATTCAACAGAAACAGCTACATTGGAAGAGTCAGGGTTGCAATGTATGCAAGCTTGCTATCATGTACTAAATACAACGTCTTCAGCCTCTACACAAAATATATGGTATTTCAAGTTATTTTGGGGAAGCTGAATCCAGTTTTCTTTCCTTTCAGAACAGAATGCCCAAGTTTACAATTGACATTTCGTTAAATTTACTGCCGTAGTCTAATGACGTAAGCCCTTGATTTTAATTTAATATAATATATATCCCCACCTCCACGGCCTTTATGGGAGAGAAACGGGGATACAGATTTTTGTTCCTAATTCTGAGCCATGATTTTTGAAAGTGTGGTACTGGGACAGATGTATGATTCTGGAGGTCCCCCCCCCCGCAACTAAAGGCAGTTTGGTGGGGGGCATAAGCAGCTAAGGGGAGATGGAATACAGCATGTAAACAACACTTTCCCTAAATCATCTTCTCAGCTGAATCACATAATCAAACTAACCCACATGGCTTTCTAAAGTCGTCTTTTAAACTGCCCACAGTGTATCTAAAAGGATAGCGCCACCATCCTTCATAAAAGTATCCCCCAAGAACACTTTTCTCACTCTCCAGTTTACAAAAGATCACACCTTATGAATATGGATCTAGCCTGTTATTCTAATTACTTGGTAGAGCTTAGAATGATCAATTCACTTATAGATTATCTATTAAAAGTATGTTAAAAAAATATATATCCCTACGTGGGTGAACTTAATTATAAGCACAACGGGATGATTAATAGAAAGCTAAGTTAAGACCAAGGGGAATTCAAAAGACCATGTTGGGCTTTTGTTGGGCTTCCAACAAGCTCCTCTGTTGACTGCTGTTCACCTTCTTGTATACCTCACTGTTCTCTGGAGCTGTCCCCTGGCTGAAGATCTGTGGCATGGACAACCACACACCTATGTTTTTCCTTTGTGCATCAGGTTACCCACTAGGGACAATTGCAGACTGTCACTATTTTGCAGGTAAGATTCAATCGCATCCTGTTGCATCTAGGTAAAGGTAAAGGGACCCCTGACCATTAGGTCCAGTCGTGGCCGACTCTGGGGTTGCAGCGCTCATTTTGCTTTATTGGCCGAGGGAGCTGGTGTAC